CACAGGTGTCCTTTTCTCACATTTCAAGAGGTTTGAAAACTTCAGATGTGGCGCAGACGAAGGGGCTGAGTGAAGCCATCAGGGACAACGTCTGAAGACCCCCAGGCACACAGGGCGAGAAGGAGCGAGGAGAGCGGGCCCAGCTCTGTGCAGTGGTCTCCTGGGTTATGGCTCCTGGGCCGCCCCGGCTGCCCGGGAAGTCGACGTCCTCCTCTGGGGCTGGGACAGGCGCCTGGCTCTATTTGGAAGGAAGAATGAAGGGGTGGATATGAGCTGGGTGACCGGTGGCACCGTCCACATAATTCAGCTCATGTTCCAAGGTTAAGAGATTCACGGGGGAGCTCTTTGTTAAGACTTGTCCAAGCCCAGCAGGCGAAGGCCCTTTGGTGGAGTGTTAATGTCTGCCATGGCTGTTTCTGTGGCTGTGGCGTGCTTGGTGTGCCCTTCGGGTCCAGGGCATAGGCTGAGCTGTGTGCTGGACCAGCTGCTTTCCCAGGCACCCTTACCCCAGCCGCCCAGCGTGCTGGGGGCCAGATTCTGAGGGACTGGATCACCAGATCTCTCCGCTCTGACTTCTGGTTGGGTTTGGCCCTTGGGAGGTGGTGACAGAAAGGCTGAGGAAGGAAGGGGACCCATGTCAGGATATAGATTCCCTGACTCCCTCCCTTCCCCGATGACACGGTTTATTGAAGCCCCGTCTCTCCCTGTGGCCCACTCTGGACATCTCTCCTCTTGCAGGCTCCGGTGGTAACTGCCCTGGTCTTCCCCCTTCACACTGTCGATTTGCCAGACTCTGCCCACACCTTGTAAACTGTTCTTTTGAATATGCTGCCCCTACACCACCCAGTTCAAGTGTCCTGTCTCCTTCCTGCATGGATCCAGACGGAGGCAGTCTGTAAGGCTTTGGGCGCTTGTTCTGGGTGAAGGCGTTGGAGTTATTGACGGACACCTTTGTCTCCCTCTTCCTCAAAGTCAAGGGCCATGTGCCTCCTCCACTTGACAGGATAGCTGACTTGCAACACGCATCCTGGGATGTGATCAGAAGTCTTTTTTACTCGCTTTGATCAATCAGCGCCCCCACCGCTCCCCAGGCAATGATGGCGCAGGGGGCAGCTGCTCGGGCTTGCAGGTACCTCCAGCTGTGAGGCGCTTCGGAGGGGAGCCTCCAGGAATCAGCAGGAGGGAACGCACCGTGCTCCCGGCTCTCTCCAGAAAGCATGGCGGCAGGCCAGTGGGAACAGTCGTTTCTAGAGCTGTTGATTGGCAGGGGCTGTGCACCAGCTGGCTGGGAAGGACAAGGGCAGCCACACGGGTGCCCCACGTGCTCGCCATCCCGTTCCTGCCTCGGCCTTCCTGCCGCCCAGGGCGTTGGAGTCTCCTCTCCAAAAGCAGGCTCCGTGGTGTATTATTAGATCCCCACCTCCCTCCCTCTTCCTCCCACCCCCAACCCCACGGGGTGCTGGCGGAGGGGGTGGGGGAGCTGGTGGGGGAGCGGCCCTTGAATGCCTTCAGAGCAGGGTTTCTTAAACTTGAATGAAAGTGCGAATCACCGGGGGCGGGGGGGGGGGGTGGGGGTGGGGTGGTGTCACATTGCAGGTTCTGATTCAACAGGTCGGCATGGGGGCGGAGAGTCTGCGTTTCTAACAAGCTCCCTGGTGATGCTGGCGCGGCTGGTCCAGGGAACGCACGCTGGGTAGAAAGGGCTCAGAGATGAGCCTCCAGTTGGTAGGCACCAGCCTCACGTGGCTATTTACCCTTATTGTCTTTCCTTTGGTTTTTATCTCATAATCTCATCAATCCATCAGAAGCGAGTTCCTAGTGAGAGAAGCCCCCTTGGAAAGGTCGATGGCTTGGGTAAAAAGAGAACTAGGTGGGTTTGCATAAAGCTGGAAAGGAGATGACAGGGTGCAGGGACCCAAATGAGTTTGCCATCGTCGTTGTCACCACCACCACCACCAGGACGTCGTCAGTCACGCCTTCCTCCTTTCCTTGCCCCTTTGCCTCTTGAAAATTTTGTCCTCATTCTCTCTACCTACAGACTCGTCAGCAGGTGGCTCCAGGCTAAAATGATCACCCTCGCTATCTAAGTGGAACAGGGAGCTCTCCCTGCCAGCGTCTGTTTCTGTACCACGCTGCACCCGGGTCTGTGAACAGGGGCCGGAGTGCCAGGGTTTGCTTGCTCTGTGGGAGCGGGTAGGACCCTGTCATGGGCAACCCCCAGAATCAGAGGAGCAGAGGGGGAAGCACGTGTACCCGGAAGGAAGAGGTGGTGGTGCAAGGAGGAATGGGGCGGACAAAACTAGCAATATTCCCTCTGCCCCACTGCTGTCTTCCACTCCACTGCTGTCTTCCACCCCACTAAGAATCCCATCCAGCTGTTCCCCTTTAAGAACCTCTCTCCTGGTTTCTGCCACCCCTTGATCGTTCCCCGTGGAGAAAAGATAGCTTGACATATTTTGCTGGGTGGTTGCAAGAGTACAACTGTCCTCCTTGTGTATTTACACTGCAACCAATTATGAAGGCTTCTCTTTGGTACAGAAATTAAAATCAAAAGACAAGATGATGTCCTGGCTAGGTCTCCCCTCTGCTTTCTTCAGGCGTTTGGTAGCACCGCACACAGCCTTGCTTGAAGAGTTTATTTCAGTAGCTGGACACTACCAGGTGGGACATAGCAGGAGGGGAAGGCCACTGCCTGCCAAGGACGAGACAACACGGGTGGGGGCAGGTCTGCGGAAGGTCCTTGCTGGCTGCGCAGAGAGGAAAGGCCGGGTAGGCAGGGACCGGGAGATGAGTCAGTTTCAGCCACTTTTTGCTTTTTTTTTTAAATAATAAAAGTACAGGTTAGATTTTTGGGGGGATTGAGGGAGATTAGGGGAGAGTTTAAGGGTCAAGGGGTGACAAGGAGAGGCTGGACTGCACGTGGCAAAGTCTCCAAAGCTGGAGGCACAGGAGTTGGGCATGTCACGTCCCAGACCTGCATCCAGCTCCCTCCTGTCTGCCCGCCTCTCACCAGCATCCCATCTGGGCAAGGAGGGGCACAGTCGTTGCCTGGCCAGAGGCCTGTCCCCTGTCAGAGCAGGGGGTGGGGGCAAGGACTGGGGGTGGAGCACCTCCGAGTGCTGTGCACTTTGCACTCACGACCTCAGTTACTGCTCACAGCGGACCTGTGGGGAAGGCCTGCCTGTGCAGGTCACAGATGAGGAACTAAGGCTCCGACCAAGTTGAGCAAATCTCACATGATCACCCAGCTCCTCAGCCAGAGAGCTGGGACTCAAACTCAGGCTTGTCTGATTGCAGAGCTGGCATTCTTCATCCATCTATCCATCACCCATCTGTCAATCCATCCACCCGTCATCCATCCATCCATCCATCCATCCATCACTCATCTACCCACCCATTCACCCACCCACCCATTCATTCAACAAATACTTAGGGAGCATCTACCATGAGCCCAGCACTGTGCTAGGCACAGAGGATGTGGGAAAGGGAGTAAGATAGACACAGTCCTTGCTCTCATGGATCTTGCAATGTAGTGGGATGCAAAAGACAGTCAACACATAGGTATAACGTGTTGTAAAAAGCGAGATGGAGGAATATAAAGTAGGGTCAGAGGCCAGCATGCCAGGCTGGGAGGGCCTGGGCTAGGGTAAGGTGAGTGAGGTGCCTGGGATGCAGGACTGAAGGAGGTGCCTGCTCTCAGGGCCTGGCAAGTGCAGGGGTGGCACTCGCATGACCCTGGCTCCTTAAATTTTGCGCCTTTAGCTGCCTTGCTGGCTTTAACCTCATCCTGGTCCTGCAGATAAGAAGTCATGGAGGGCAGGTGGCATTTGAACAGAGACACGAGGTGCTCTTGCAGTGGTCCTACAGCACGAGTGTGTTATCTGCAGGATGAGCTTCGGGGTGGGCAGGGGCGCTGGGCAGAATCCACTGAACAGAAGGCATCCTTGCCTCCCGAGTTTGCCATACACGGGGGTGGGGGGGTGGGGAATGCAGGGGACCAAGGGATGGAGAATGAGGAAGCGGTGAAGGAGGTCTGGGGGAAGACATTAGTGGGCAAGTATCTCCAAGGCAACTGGAGCCCACGGCTGCATCAGGCAGGGGTTTGTTCTCAGCTAAGGACCAGAACTCTCCCACAATACAACTGCATTTGATCTCAACACTGAGGGCATCTTCCTGAGAAGCCCGGCCTCTTCTGCATCCCCGATGTTTCAGTGTCTCCTTTATTTGGGGGTAGGGGAGGGAAGAGAGGTCCTTTCTCTGAAGAGGTCCTATTTCTTTCATATCTAAAGAATATGCTTATGCTTGCTTTCTACATGTGCTTAGTTTAAATGAACTGGCCAGAAGCCTGCAAATCCCTGTAAAAATGAAACCAGAGGTTCTCAAAGTGGGGTGCCCGTGCCAGCAGCATCAGCCTCGCCCATGAACTTGTGAGCAGGGCACTTCCTTGGGCCCCACCCCGGGGTGCTGCACCAGAAACAGTAACCAGCCCCCAAGGGATGCTGGTGCCTGTGCAGGTTTGGAGGCCACCGGTCTCGATGCGTGTCACCCAGGAGCAGGGAGGGGCCCGGGAACCTCACCTGGGCGGAGACACAAGACACGGCCTTCTTGGAGGGATGGCAGTCACCGGCCACCGGCAGCCCAGGGAGGGAAGCGAGTTACCTGAGGTCACCTGAGAGTGAGCAGGGGTGCTAGGCATGGCCCGCAGGTCCCATCCCCACCCGGACGCTCCTCTCCGCAATAGTTTATGAACCTCGTTGTAAAGACCCTGGAGAAGCCAGGGCCTATCCCTTACTTTTTCGTGTCCAAGATGCATGACAGTGATGCCCACGTGGACATTCACAGTGTTTTTAAAGTCCGCGCTTGTGACGTCCAGCCTCCCCAAGGTGGACAATGAGAAATGTGGTCGTGATGGATTTGGAATGGGAGGTGGCTGGGTTGGAACCCTCTTGCCGTGCCCCGGGAGCCGGTCAGAAATGAAGGACCAAGAGCAGAGGAAAAGGTTATAAAAATGTTTAGTCTTTGCTTTATTGAGTTACAACAAATGAGCAACAAGTTAGAAAAATTGCTTCTTTCCAAACTCCCTAGCCTTTTATTTGTGCAGTGTAGTCAAATTGGGGTGGTGGGGGGGGGGCGCTGCAAACCGAGTTCATCTTGCAACATTTACACCAGATACGTCTCCTGCTTTCTCCTCTTTAAAAGTTAGGACTAACGGGAGAAAAAAAGTGCACTCAGGAATCTAAAATTGGCCCAAAACAAACACACCACCAGCAAAAAAAAAAGTCAGTTCACGGTGAGGCTTCAAGCTGAAATCCTGTCAAATACCACACTGAAAAATGGCAGTTAGGGGCAGAAACAAAACCCAAAGTGGTCCGTCCTCATACCATCTGGACAGGAAGGTCCCTTTCCGTAGTAATTTCATGAAAGTAAAGCTAACGCTCACAGACGGGACAGCCCTTTCCTGGGGAACCCAAAAAGGTGCTTGAAAAGGACAGCCGCCTGCCCCCCCCACCGCCGGTCACCCAGCGCTGGCTGGGCCCCAGCTCTCACTGAGAGGCCGGGCCGTGCAGAAACCTGTAAGGGGCTGTGCAGAAAGCCTTGCGCCTGGCTGCACGGGAAGTCCAAAGGCGGCTGGGGGAAGAGGAGAAAATGGATTTGATTCGGAAGATCTGCCGTCTGTAAACTCTCTCCAAGTGGAGGCTGCCAGCTTCTCCCCGAGAAATCTCCTGCATTTCAAACTGCCTTTAAAAACGAATTCTCCCTACCTAAAATCCAGTAGATACAATGGCACTAATGCTAATGTTACCCCCTCTCCCAAAATTATTAAAATAAAAAGGAAAAAGAAAAGGAAGAAAGATAAAAAGCACGCGTGATCAGCCCTCCCTCCTGGAAAAAAAACAAACAAACAACCTTCCGATGGTAGTGTTGGAGATGGAAATTGCGCTTGATTAAAAAGGTAGCAAAATCCCCCCCATGGTACAAATTGGTTCCAGTAGCGCGAGAGGTGGGGGACAGGGCAGAGGAGCAAAGTATTTACAAGGAACCATTGAAAACGCAGTAGTAGGACTTTGGCACAACGAACAATTCCCACCCATCCTCTGGGAGGCGCCTGTGAGAGTCGCTGGGTTCCCGCCCGGGCAGGGACGGGCCAGTGGAGTAGTTCTGCTTGGAGCCTCTGGCCAGGTGGCCTCCCGCAGGTCTAGGAGGGAAGGAAGTTCTCTTCTTGCTTCAAAGACGGAGCATCCCCTTTGTCAGCAGAGCCGTCCTGACCGACCTCCCTAGAAGATGACACAAAACCAGAGAGACAAGGTGTCAGGAGGATGGCGTAAGGTGGTGGGGGCGTCCTGTTCCTGGCGCTGCTGGGAACATCCCCCTCCAAAGCCATGGGAGCAGGGGGAGGGCAAGACCGGACGGAGGAGAGGCCAACACCCTTCAAATTTGGGGCCCGGTTTAAAGCGTTCCCTGAGCCCAGTCTGACCTTATGGGAAGTGCCTGCAGAGCCAGGCGTTTGAACACAGGAGGGCTTTCTGAGGAAGTCGAGGAGGTGACCTGTGATTCTTTCCAGGGTCACAAGCCCCCATCACTATGGCTGTAGAGGCGGCCGGTCCCTAGGCTCCTGAAAGGGTCCGGAATCGGACAAACTGAGAGTCTGGCTCTGACCTTCCCCACGTACGCGCCTTGAGGCTGTGCACACATGGCTTACTCTGTCTAGGGCATTGTTTCGCTTCTGTAAATCGCGGAAGACGATAGCCTGATTGCAGCCATCTCACTGAGTTGTTTTGATTAAACAAGTTCGTATAGGTACCAGCATTTGGAATACTGCCTGGTACCTGGTATGATATTGATGCTTTCATTGTTTTTGTTAGATGGAGCCTTTTCCAGATACGGTAGGACATGTAATGATAACCACAACAAGATGGGACATTTTCAGTGTAATTTTAATTTAATGTTTATGTCCAACCCTCAGTGGCATTGGTATTACTACTATTCCCATTTTGTAAGTGAGGAAGTGAGCACAGAGAGGCTAAATAACTGGTCCAAGGTCACACAGTGAGTGGGCGGAGCCAGGATCCAACCCCAGGCAATCTCCGGAGTCTGTGCTCTTAATAAATGAACAGGGTTTGCCAGGAGTCAGTAAGGAGAAATGTTTCCTTCTCATCTACATTGAAGTGATGAAAATAGCCCCAGGACCTTGTTATGAGTTGAATTCTCTACCCCCTAAAATGCATGTTGAAGTCGTAAACCTCAGCACCCTGAGGCCCACCTTGGCCAGCCCCACACCCAACCCGAGTCCTACACACACAGCCTCTCCTTGCACGAGCCACCGCGTCTGCTCTGAAGGCAGGGCTGGCAGTCCTGTGCACGGGCACACGCCCCCCTGGGTGGGTCCACGGGGCACCGCCAGCCTTCTCTCGTGTCCCCAAGGAAGAGGCCTTCCCCGGCAAACAGGGTCTTTCACCGCCTCTGGAAAGGAGGCTGCTTCTGGTTAGATGTCTGCCCGAACAGTTCTCAGGGCCCCAAGAAATAAGGCCCAGGGCGGACAGACAGCTACTGTTCTTCCTTCCCCCGAACCGGGAAGCCGGATCCAGGGCGGGCTGTGCCCTGAGGTCAGTTAAACTCCCCGGGCGTCGCTGCTGTGATTCACACACCTGAGGGGCTGCTGGGAGGATTACAGACGAGTTGTGCAAAGCAGGCAGGTGCTCTGAAAATGTTGCTTAATTTTTCCTCCAGGAGGGCCAGGTGCAAAATGAGGGCCTGAGGCGTATAGGCAAACTCCCGTGCGTGCGTGCGTGTGTGCGTGCATGGGTGAGAGTAAACACATTTTCTCCCTCTCTCATAAATGAAACTGGACCCTTTCTCTCCAAGCCATTAGCAAAAACTCTCACTTTTTAAGATAAACCTCAACCTTAAGGTGGTTCTGTCTCTGGTAATGAATATTTCTGAGCCCCTGTGTAATTCCTTAAGGAGGTGAACATGCATCAGTCTCCAACCATAAGCATTAATAAAGAGAAAGTGCTAAACCAAGCCTTCAAAAAAATATCACAAGACTAGAGAGGTGACTTGGAGAATGGGGGATAGAGCCCCCCTTTTTTTTTGCTTTTGTAGAGACCCCTGGTGTCTGCAGAAGCAGGCTGGCACTGGAATCCTCCCAGTGGACCTGGAATCCTACAGGCACAGACATTGGCCACCACAGACTCTACAGCACTGGGTCTGAGCTTCGGGAGGAAGCTGCAAGGTCGTCGGCCCCTGTCCCCACAGGCACTACTCAGATGTCTCCACCACGGAGATACCCGCCTCTCCCCGAACACCGCCGGCACAGCAAACACTGCCTCCCACGCCGTCCCTTGCCATCTCAGGGACAGCGAGGAATGTTAAAAGCACCATCTAATTCTTTAGCAAAATCTGCTTCTCTCTCACTGTATCCGGGGGGAACATGAAACGGTTAGAATTCCTTCCCCTCGTGATGGCTTTGTTTCTCTTTCTCTTTCATTTCCCCTGCAGGGATCTCCAAAGCCCTGTGCACTTGGAGAGAATAACACTGTATTCCAAGAGAAAGGAAGACAAGCGCTGTGATAGTGATTTATTATCTTATAAAAGTCAAGTCGCCTTTCATAAGAGGGGGCTGGGTCTGATTTTAATAAGAGTTGAGATAAGGGAAACTCGGCCGCCCGGAGGGGGATGAAGCAATCTCCCGGCGAACAGGGAGAAGCCGACACCACCCCGAGCCGACCCGCACCAGGCACTGGCCAACTCGGGCCCATCTGGCAGGTGCTCTTTCCCTGCAGCGGCTGGGGAGCCTCAGGGTTGGGGAAATTGCTGAGACTTACCAGCCAGGTAAGTCTCCCCTACGCTGCTCTCGGGGAGTCTCAAGACAGAAGGAATCAGAGGGGCTTCTGGCCCCTCCTGCCCCCTTTCCATCACAGAATATGAGCCAGGGCTTTCAACAGCAAGTGGGCAAGCGGGATCACACCTGAAAGTCACTAGGCAGACGCCCGAGGGGGTGACATGTGCGAGCCTGAATCCCAGCTGCACCGATTCCCAGCTCCACGAGCTCGGACGCATCACCTGGCTGTGCCTCATTCTCATCGCCCGTAAACCGAAGGGAATCGTGCTGGCTTCAGGGAAGTGTGAACACCTGTGAGGTGCCCGAGCGGCGCCTGGCACGTAAGTGCTCAGCAACGTTACCCCTTGTCGCTGCTCCAGGACCCCCACCCCCCTGAGAGGCCATTCACAGTCTGAGCTCATACAAGTGGGGCCCCAACCCCAAAAGTCAGCCTTGAAAGACCGGAAGAGGATGGCCAAGTTCTCGTCCACACGGAGAAGAGTGTGCAGCTTCAGAGTCGGCGTCCACTGAGCAGGTGCCGGTGCCAATGCTGGTCCCTGTGTAGGGCTTCACTTACATCATCTCACTTAATCCCGACAACGGCAGACAACCGTGTTAGTAAGCGTTCTGGGCTGAATTACGGCTCTCGCTCCCTTGCGAAGCCCTAGTCCCCAAGGACTGCATTTGGAGATGGTGCCTTTAAGGGGGTAATTAAGGTTAAATGAGGTCATTGGGTGGGGCCCTGATGCATTATAAGAGGTTGTGCATGCAGAGAAAAGCCCATGTGAGGACACAAAGGGAAGGGTGTTGTCTTCAAGCTAAGGAGAGCGGTCTCACTGGCAACCAACCGTGCTGGCACCATGACCTTGAACTTTCAGCCCCCAAAACCCTGAGAAAATACATGTCTGTTGTTTACGCCACGCAGTCTGTGGTGTTCTGTTATGGCAGTCCCCGTTGACTAATACAGCAAGTATGAAGGTTGTAGGAACTTACACAAGTATAAAATAAAATGTCTAGGCATGTGGTGGTCTAGAATTTTCCACCCTCCACCCTCCACTGACCACTAGAGCAGAAAGGTGTGAACGCCTGGGCAGCTGCACTGAGATGCCTTTCCTCCTGCTCCTTCCTGGACTGTCCCGCGGGCTCTCAGACTTGCCCCATGGGACCACCTGCACAGAATCACACACAGTCTTCTTTCCTGGTGAATCAGAGGAGTTCCCAGAGAAAATCCGATTACATGCGAGTCGACCTGACACTCTGGCTATTGTCTCTGCACTTCTGTGACAGTGGGAACACAGGCAAGTCAAGGCCACGAAAGTCCCTCGGTGTGTTCCGTTCCCTCTGGCCTCAGGGCCTTAAGAGTATGTTATTCCTGCTGCCTGGAATGTTCTGGCCCCTTCTCGCCTTCCCCAACTTCTGTGTAACCTTTTACATTTCACTTCATCCAGAACCCACTCAGAGAGGCCTTCTCTGGCCCCTTATATCAGCTTAAATTTCTTTATTCTATATTCTGCCAGCACCACGAACCCTTCCTTCAAAACACTGGACAGTGCAGCAACGTTTGCTTTTTGTTTGATGGGAGATTGATTAAAGCCTTGTTCCCCATTACGGAGTGGGCTCTGTGGGGGCAGGGGCATGCGGGCACACTGGGCAGCCTGTAAATACCTGCTGGGTGAGTGAGCCAAGATACTCATCACAAATGTCACTGAACTAGCTCCTACCTCTCCTCAGGGCCTGCATCCTTCCTCTGAGAAACGAGGGACGTAGCTTTCATGATTCTTAAGTTGCTTCAAGCTCCCCAAAGCACAGTGAGAATTCCTAGTGTGAGAAGCTCCAGCATATTAGGTAAGTGGAAGTGACAGCAGTTAACTCTCCATTGGGCACCAGGACAGTGAGGCCAGGACAGTGAGGCTGCTCTAAAGTCCCTGAAAAGCATCGCCCAGGAAATATCCAGTGACCGAGTCCCCAACAGATGCTTCCCTCAAGCTGCCCCTACACTCAGAGAGCAAACGGTCCCGAACTCCTCTCCCCTGGCTGCTGTCATCTACTGTGGCCAATGAGTGATGGAAAAAAAATGAGAAGCAAAAGGATGGAAATACCAGATCCTGCATAACTGGGAGCCAGCTATCTTTGTTAATTCTTAGGTTGGTCCCATAAGTTGTTACTGAGCATCTGCTTGGGGTTGGGCCCTGGGGATTCAGAACTTAATGGAATATGGTCCCTGCCTTCAAGGGTTGTGGGGGAGAGACAGGGAAACAGATGATTCGAATATTTTTATCCACCCACTCATGCATCCAGCCATCCATCCACTATCCATTCATGCATCCATCCATTCGAATCTCTGTATTCGGACAGCTGATCCGAACAGTGTGGGTGCACACATATCCTGGATCCTGAATTGTAGCCAGGGTGCAACACCTGGCAGCCGTGACTCTTTTGAGCCAGGTGGACTATGAAAAATATTTTTTCCTGACATTTCACAAAACATATCTCTTCCCCAAAGCCACCCCTGATTATCAGGAGATGAATTTGTCGGAAATCAGGAGGCAGCAACATAGTGAATGAATGGTTGTGCATTGCTCGCCACTGCCACACAGAGTTAAGAAATGACCAAGTCCCGTTGGTTCAGCCGGGTGGTTTGGGTGACGTCGCTATTGGAGCGGCAGTGGGCTGTGGTGGCCGGGCCAGGCGCTGGCCTGACCGACGAGAGGACGGCCTCCGGCTCCACCAGCTGCTGGTCAAGAGACCCAGGGCAGGCGTCTCTGAGCCCCGGTTCTGTGAAAGGAGCCGGGCCCACCTCCTAGGACTGCCTTGAAGCTTAAATGACTTCATCGACGTGCTCAGAAGAACCCTGAGCACGCAGCACACACAAAGGAATAGAAACCCATAGTAAAGTCGCAGTCGAGCTGCAATATTCCATCTGGCCAAACAGCAAGGCATGTATGTCTGAAAATGTCTTGTTCAAGTGTTCTGACTCATGTTTTAGGAAAGGAGACGTTTGTTTTTCAGCTCCTTCCTAGGACAAGTCTCTCAATGGATGCCTCGATAATCGTTTGGACCCAGAGATGGAGTCAAGACAACCTGATTCGAGGCTTGGGAAGGATTCCTTATCTGTGTGTCTAACTTCAAGGCAGAGGGGGCCCTGGACCGAGTCGAACGCTGACGTGAGCCTTGCAAAGCAAAGTGTCAGCCAGAGGAACTGACCGGGGACACGCGTAACTCCTGCAGAGGAGACCATTCTAGAGTCGGCTCTCGGCCAGCCGCTCCCCCAAGTTCCTAATCTCTTGCGTGTGAGCCTCACGCAGCCGCTCTCCTGAAGTCAACCCGTGCGTTGTCTTCAGGGCGATATCATGCGTAATGACTGAACTCAACGGCGGGTTCCTAAACAAGCATGTATTTACATAAAGGCATCACTGAATACTTATACATTTCACAAGACCCACATGTTTGGTTCATATAAACTGTGAAGAAATTTGGAAAGTTTTTCCCCCCCGAATTGAAAGGTCTGGGGGCCACCACCAGGGCAGCCCCTCCCTGAACGCAACGGCACCTCCGAAACATCAGGAAGCCTGGGAGGGACAAGGGGTGTCCCAGGTGTTGAGTGGGTCCTAGCATCTTGTTCAGGAATATTCTGCAGCACACACCAGGGGCATTTATGAAAAATAAACATCAAAAATGGTTTCTGGGTGTTTTCCAGTTCTTCTCGGAGACAGCAAGTTCCTGCATCTCTGAGTTATCTGATGTTAACTCAAAAGTCATCTCCAGAAACCCTAGGTATGCCCCCGTCCCCTGCCACTGGGGGGAGGGCAACCAGAAATGGGAAATGCCGGTACACGTGAGAAAGGAAGAGGCGGAGATGACAGCGGGAAGCGTGAGGCTCAGGGGTGAGACCAAGGTGCTGGCTGGGGGCATGCAGGTAAGTTCTTTGGCTTCTGAGTCTCAGTTTCTGGGTTTATGAAGGTATAAAGGGCTTATCTCCCAGGCTGAGGGAATTGGATAAGAAGCCCCCCCCCACCCCAGCCCCCCATGGCCAGAGCACCTAGCTCAGCCTCTGCTACTCAGGAGGCTCTGCTCCACCCTCCTCCCTTTCTTCCCAAAGCTCCTCCCTATGGTTTAAGCACCGCTTTGTCTTCAGCTTCCCCTGGGCCTCAGGGGAGGGTCAGGCACAGTGGTGGCTGGCCCGGATGGGCATTTTCAACCCAGATGGGTGGTGGTAGCTGGGAGAGAAGGGGTGGGGACAGTGGTTGCAGGGGCCTCTGGGGAGCTGACACCCACAGACAACCTCCCACGTAGTGAAGGGCATTGGGAAGCCCCACCTGAGCTCACTCTGGGTTACAGGGCCACTTAGCATCCTTATACTCAAGCTCAGCAAATACGGTTAGTTCAGAATAGCTTTTGCCAGCTGTGGGAACATCGGGTTTCCTCATGGTTTGCCTTTCCTCATCATTAACGCAATCTTCACACTTGACTTTCCGTCTACACCAAACCCCTTTTTGTTTCTCAATGGCACCGTTCTTTTTCTTGTCTCTGGACCTTTGCCTTCTCTATTCCTTCCCCTTGAACCACTCTTTGCCTTGTCTGTGTACTTAGATAACTCCTTCCCATCCGCTAGCCCCTGAATCAGATGTCCCTTCCTCCAGGAAGCCTTCCCTGACCCCCAGCCTGGGTGCCCCTCCTGGATGCCTTCACACACAGCTGTCCATGTCTCTCCCACAGCCCAGATCACCCTGGCTAGTACAAGGGGGACCGACTGCCTCTGTCCCTGGCCTGACGGGGCTCCTTGTGAACGAGGACTGTGTCATCGGCCTTCTTCGTCACGTGCTCTCCGATGCCTAGCACAGCGCGGGGCATGCAGTAGCTGCTGGGGATGCATTTGCCGAATCGGACTGAACCCTGTTGCCTAAAGCAATCACGTCGAGTTGTGTCCTGTACCAGAAAAGGCCAAGGGCAGAAGACAGGGAAAGCTAGGAGTTTTCGGGCAGATTCTGATTGGACAAAAATATATTGCTCCTTTATTTTATGAGAGAGATAAAGGCTGGACTGGCAGGGTTTTATTAGAGAGTGGCCAGAGGGAGGACGGCACCAAGGTGGCCAGACAGAGGTGGGTAGTTGGTGCCGTTGGTGACGTCAAGAACCTATCCCTCTCTTCCCGTCATGGCCCCCGACCCTCTGGGCTGCATCCTCCCCCCAAACCCATCACTACTTCCTCCCGAAAAGTCAGAGGAGGAAGACTTGAAGGCATTCTGTGATTGGCTGCTTATTCAACTGCCCTTTTCACAGCTGATGGTACTGGCTAAAACCAGGTTTCGAGAAGACTTGATTTTTTTGCCAGGCGCCTCACTTTATTACCGAATACATGAATGAGCGAGTCACACGGCCGTGAACAAAGAGGCACAGCGATTTCCAGGGCCCCCTTTGGGACCCTACCCACCTTCCTGGAAGTCCTCACCCTTTACGTGACTATTTTAGAGGATGACCCCGGGTGGTGGGGAGGGGCTTCTGTTGCCTTTTAAGTGACCCATGGCGGAGCCAGCCCGGGCAGACTGTAAATAGTGAATGTTCCTTCTAGGTCCATGTGGCCCTTGGAATATTTGTGCTTTGGCCAAGGCGGACCTTTGCCCCCTGAACCCCACCCCCAGCTCCGACTCCTTTTCGAGCTCACCACCCAGCAAGCTGCCACGCTCAGGCCTGGATCTGCACAGGCGTCTTGGGAAGCACAAATACCAAGGGCTTGGGTGGCACGTCCCATTATGTGGATGACATGGCCATTAGTCACCATGGTAACCTCCCTGCCCAGGGCTTTGTGGCTCCACAGGCCTCATTTACACCAGTCTCTTCCAGACCCGAAGGGGTTGGGGGCCCAACCAGCACAGTGAGGAGCTCCTGCTCACCACACCTGTGCAAATGCCAGCCTTTAGGTTTGTAGAAACGACCCCGCATCTCCAGCCAGTAACCTTAGACACTTACTCTTCAAAAGTCCAAAAAGAAAAAAAGAGGAAAAGTTAAAAAAAAAGAAAAAACAGAAAAGACACATCTTTTCCATCTTTTTTCTTCTTACAGTAGCAAACACAAAACAGGTGGTTACAACTGCAACCGGACTTTAGACCAAACAGGCGCCCAAAGGTGGTGTCCAGGCAGGCCACCCGCCACCGTTCTGTCACCCACCCGCACAGCCTTTCAAGTGACATGAAATCTACCAGCCCCTGTTTTTCTTCCTAAAAAAAAACCCCAAAAAACCCCATCATCTTTGTCAACGTCTCTGTCCCCTGAAAACTCTACTGACTTGAGCAACAGAAGGAAAGAAACCCAGCCTCCTCCCCTAGCGGCCCCGGGGGGAAAAGGTGCCATTACCTGCCTAGGCCCGGCCGGCCTCCGTGGGGACGCTGTCGGAGTCTGAGTCGGCCGGCTCCGCGGCGCCTTCGGGGGCCGTCTGACCCCAGCCGTCCGACCGGTCGGAGATGGCGTCCTCCTCTCCCACCGTCACCTCCACCCAGTCCACGACACCCGACTCCTCGTTCTCGTCGCTGCCCTGGCCGTCCCGGCTGCTGCCCTCCGACCTGTCCGAGGTGGCCTCTGAGGGCTTTGCCGGCAAACCATCTTTCGCTGGCTCGCTGCTGCCCACTTTCGCCCTGGGCACCAGCTTCTCCAAGTCCTCTTCGTGGAGCTTTTTGGGGTCCGTGTGGAACTGCGGCCCCACCTCGCTCCCGTTCTTTGGGCTCTCGGTGACGGTGACAACCACGGCTTTCGCTGCCTTCCTCGACAGGATGTCGTAGCCGTGGTCCTCCGCTACCTGCTGCTGCTGGTACTGCTCCAGCCACTTCAAGGTCCCCGTTTTCAGCAAGCATCTGTTCTCCTTGAACCAACGCACAATTTCAGTCCGGACCAGGCCGGTCTTTGCTGCTAACTGGTCGTACTCCTGGGGCGTAGGCCACTGGGTTCTTGCAAACGTGCTCCTCAGGAGATGCACCTGTTCTTGACTTGTAGCGATTGCTGGTGAAGGGCTGGGCAGGGAGCTGACCAACTGGGCACCGGAGAGCTGGTCAAGGCGAGACAGAGCACCGTTGGGGGCCAGCACATCCTGGCCTTTTTTCACGGACCCCATGGAATCCAAGACCGCTTGTTCCATGCTGTCCCGAAGCTTCCGCCGCTCCGAGAACCAGGAGTCGACCTCCCTCCTGCTCAGCTTCGTCTCCACCCTTAGCCGATCTAGTTCCGCTTGGGTCGGGAAAGAGCTTTTCAAAAAGCTGTCTTCCAGGATTTTAACCTGACCCTGTGTTTTCTCTTTGTACTTCTGCGGGGCAAAGTCTGGGTAGGCGTGGTACGTGCGGCCGTGTCGGGAGGCCGAGATGGCCAGCTGGTCTTTGGCAATGGATTCGCTGGTGATGTGGACGATGCCCCTTTGACACCGATACCGGTGGTCACTGAACCACTTCTTGATCTCGCTCCTGGCAAGGCCGGTCAGCTCGATGAGCCGGTAGACCTCGGCGTCATCCGGGAACTGGCTCTTGAGAAAGCTCGCCTTGAGATGGGCTATCTGCTCCTTTGTCTTCTTGCGTTCGCTGGCCGGAGTCAGCACAGGGCTGGACAGCTTGGGTGGGGGCTCTGGCACCTGAGCGATGTGTGGGCGCTTGGGCTCGGGGGCAGCGTGGGGAGTCACTAAAGGTCTCTTCTGGCCATGATTGGTCACCCCGGCCACGGCAAGAGTGATAGGGGAGCAAGACACGGTCGCTGGCCCGCTGGTCACCTGCGTCAGCACCAGGTTGGTCTGGCCGAGGATCTGACACGGCACAGCTGTTTGCAGGATGGGCTGCGGGATCTTGGCGGGGGCCAGCTGGGTGGGCAGCACAGTGATTGTCGGGGGGACTGTCTGGATGGTGCCGTTGAACATCTTCTTCCGGGCCTCCTCCACCTCCTCCGGGGACCAGCTGATCCCGTGCTTCAGGCGCTGGGTGGCGAACCAGATTCTGATGTGCTCTTCGGGGTGTTTGGAGGCGGCCGTCAGCCAGGACAGCTCCGCCTGGGTCGGGTAAGGGAACTTGTTGAAGGAGTTGATCATGGTGGCGTTCGTGTCCAGCGCGGAGTTGTATTTGGTAGTATTCAGCGGGACGGGGACCTTGGGGACAAGGTTGATATTTGGTGGGAGCTGGACAGAAGGCATGACGTGCCCTAACTCCTGCAGTAGCTCCACACTTCCGAGTCTCGAGAGGATCTCGGCTGCATCTGTCACCAGGCGAGCGGTCCCCTCCACGTGGTTCTCGGGGGCGGCCTCCTCAGGCTTCTTGGGCACCTTCTTGGCATCCGCTTTCGGTTTCCCTGGCCTCATGATGGGAGTCTTACTCACCGAGATCCCAGGGTCAGCGTCACTGCCTCCAGGGCCGCTGGTGGTGATGGACACGATGTGGTTGGTGGCCTCGATGGACTGTTCCAGGACAGTTTGGTTATTGCGCTTGATCAGCTTCAGCTTGAAGTTGGTCTCCCCGGGATGGAACTTGGAGTTGTGGTCGGACAAGGAGTCGTACTTTTTGGTGGTGAAGTTGCACTCAGCGCACACGTAGAGGGGGTTCAGGATCACGTTGGGGTGCTGCATGTCCACGTGCTCCGTGAACTCGTTCAGGTTCTGCGTGGAGTAGGGGCAGTATTTGCACTCGTAACCGCCTTGGAGCTTTTTGGAAGGGTTCTCCCCTGTCGATTTCACCTCTATCACTTCGTTTTCTTTGGAAGCGTTTTCGGGTTCTGCTGCCCAATTACCCTTGGCCGTTTCAGCCTGGGGCGTGCCGATCCCTTTCTCTTTGGCCCTGTCTCCTTCCTCGGGCACGTCTTGTTCTAGCACTTGGGATGTCCGCACCATGCATGGGGTGGTAGACTTGCGTTTGCTCGCCATGCTGCCCGTCTGTGTGTGATGGCTTATTTTGGGGTGGGGATGGGGGCGGGGCACGTAGGGGAGAGGCCGTGAAATTTTTGGAACAAATAAGGTCAAAGAAAGGCTCTTGGCTTTATTCCCCCTCCAGTGACTTTGGCTTCCCTTCAATGCTGAAGTCTAGTGTTTGAGTTTCCAGAATGATCTCAGCACAGAAAACTGTAACTGCTCCAACCATTAAACACGAGACGCAGCATCGTATCTGTGGGACAAGAACAAAGATGGGGTCAGTGTTTATTTACAAGGCGAAATAAACGAGCATTTCTTTCTTTAAAAAGAAAATAATTTGAGCTCTTCACATGAATTTCCTTCTTTCTTTTTTTTTAATCCTCACCTGAGGAAATGTTAGATGATTTTAGAGAAAGAAGAGGGGGATGGCGGGGGGGGAGAGAGAGAGAGAGAGAGAGAGAGAGAGAGAGAGAGAGATACATTGCTCAGTTGCTTCCCGTATGCACACTGATCAGCAATTGAAACTGGAACCTGGGCATGTGCCCTGACTGGGGATCAAACCCACAGCCTTTCAGTGTATGGGACGATGCTCCAAGCACCTGAACCGCCTGGCCAGGGCAACTGGCATTTCTTTCTGAGTTGCAGTCATGACCCACCACAACTGGCACCCAGAGCGTAAACACCCAGGTGAGCTCCACGTGGGCGCACATAAAAATGACAGATCACATCCTTACGTTCTTCTCTTCCCTTCCCTGGGGAGGGGAGTAGGAACGGGCCCAGAGCACGCAGAGGAGGCTGCAGCCCACTTGCTCACATGTAGAGACAAATGCCCACGGAAAAGCGACACAAGTGCTGAGGTCTTCTGGAGCGGTGGGCGGAGTGGTGGGGGGAAAACCGCAGGTGAGATGCGGCTGGGCTCTCAAGCGGCTCTAACTGCTGGCACATCAGAAGCAAGACACTTCCCTGGGGCCGGCCAGTGGCATGTGTATGGGCATCAGAAAGCAGATACAAGTTTTTGTCTCTTATCATAAAACTGAAATCACTATAGGTGCTCCAGAAAACGCAGTGAAGTATAAAGAAGAAAAAAAAATCACCCCGATATTATAGTTTCTTCATTTCACCTGAGAGGTTCCCCATTCCTATAAATATGGAGCAACATAATGATGTAAAAATGGCTGCATGACACGACATTGCAGAGATACACCATACAGGATGCATTTCGCTGCTCAACTTTTGTGGGACATTTATTTCCAATTTTTGGCTCTTAACAAAACTGAGACGGACACCCCGAATCCTTACTTCTATCGCTACTTTTGGACGGATGCTTAGAAACAGAAGCACCGGGTTGAAGAGGATCGCCGTGTTAAGTTCTCTCGACTCAGAAGGCAGAGTCTGTGTACCAGCGGGCCCTCTCCCTGGCAGCAAATGCGTGGCCAGCTTACCACTCAACCTACGTGAACTGTTACCATGAAAAAGCCTTGCTGATGACGTAGGTTAACACTGTCTTCATGTGCTTTTGTCCTTTTTCTTTTTTAAAGGTTGTATTTTCTTGATTATGCTATTACAATTGTCCTGATTTTTCTCCTTTGCCCCACTGCCTCAGTTAATCCCCACGCCATTGTTCATGTCCATGGGTCATGCGTAGAAGTTCTTGGGCTCCTCCGTCTCCTGTACTGTGCTTTACACCCCCCTGGCTATTCTGCAACTACCTATTTGTACTTCTTACTCCCCTGTTTTGTCCTTTTTCTTGATTGCTATTAAGGGTGACCGGTTTTCAAAGACTTACTTGCCATTTGTATTCTTTCTTTGTGAATTGTCTGTTTATGCCATTTTTACAGTGTGAAGCTCAGTGGTTTTATTATTAATTTGCCAGGCTTCTCTCTATAGTAGGAATATCAGTACTTTATTGGTTGCAAAACTTTCCCAGTCTATCATTTTACCTTTTAGTTTTTTTATATGGTGCTTTTCATGTTTTACATGTGAAATTTTAAATTTTAAGGTAGCAGATTTATCAATCTTTTATGGCTTCTTTCATCATAATTTCATACACACAAAGTAATTCCCTGCCTTGATAGTCAAGACATATTATTTTGTGTTTTCTTCAGAGCGTTTTAGCTTTATTTTTTACATTTAACTCATCTGGAATTGAAGTGATCTTGCATTAAGCTGTAAGATACACCTGTAGCCATGTTCTTAAAAGTTACCAGTGAGCCCTGGCTGGCATAGCTCAATGGATTGAGCGTGGGCTTCGAACCAAAGTGTCGCAGGTTCGATTCCCAGTCAGGGTACATGCCTGGGTTGCAGGCCATGACCCCCAGCAACCACACATTGATGTTTCTCTCTCCCTCCCTTCCCTCTCTAAAAATAAATAAATAAAATCTTTTAAAAAATATTAAAAAAAGTTACCAATGGTGCCATGAGCCTGTAGTATGCATCTTTTCTCATGAATTTTTGAAACTATCATATTATGTTACATTATGTTACATTATGTTATGTTATACTAGGGTGTTTCTGGGGCACTGTTCATGCTGCTGGTCTAGCTGTTGCAGCTGTTATGCTTCACGAACTTTTCGTAGATTAGAGCATGTTTTAGTCTGTAGTGGAGTGAGGTCCTTGTCACTCTTCTTTTGCAAAACAGTTCCGGACTCCTTTGATGAACTATTCACATAAATCAATTCCCATGAATCAGAACCATGTGCAAAATCAAATAGAATGTTGGTTGTGATTGCATTAAACAAGCACTAATTTGGGAGCCCGGGTACAGTTTGTTTATTAGGGGGCAGGATAGGTTAACAGAACCCAACCTGGGGAGCCAAGGGGCTGGGCCATGCTGAGCACCCAAATGCGTGGGCTGATGTAGCGTGGGGCTTTCATTGTGTGGCTAGAGGAGGAGGGGGAAGCATTTTGAAAGAAAGCCAGCTGGCAGCCGGGGCAGGGGAATGGAGGAGGTGGCGTATCTCCTCCTGCCCCCTCTCTTTGCCTTGGGTTTCGGTCCCACTGGCAAGAGTGTTCAAGGCAGGAAGTGAGGACTCAGTTTCACGAGCTACTCTGGGGGACTCGGGGCCCACAGCCATCCGCTTAGGGGCTTGTGGCTGGAACAAAGCGGGGGAGGGTATTTACTGACTTGTTTGTCTCTTCCTCTAGAACCATGCTCCCGATATGATATGGCAGCCGCATGTGGCTCTCTAAATTTAAATTAACTTTTAAAAACCCACATTCTCAGTCATCATACTAGTCACATTTCAAATGCTCAAGAGCTGCATGTGGCTGGCGGCTCCGGTTTTAAATAGTGCAGGGCGTTGCTATCGAGGGGTGCTTTACTGAATGGTGCCGTTCTAGAATAGAAACTCCACAAGCCCAGAGACCTTGCTGGGGTTCCCCAGAGCCCACAACAGCACCTGGCACATAGCATGCTTTCCACGAATACCGGCTGCATAGTGCAGCGAGCCCAAGAGTGCTGCCTGGTGGAGGCAGTGGCTGACGCGGAGGGATGGAGCACAGACACACCTCGTCCGGGTGCTCAGGAATGTGTGTGCCTGTGCCTGTGTGCACGTGTGTGCACGTGTGCACACATGCATGTTTGTATGTGCTGGGTCGTGTATGAGTGGAGGAACTGGTCCTACTGAAACAGCGGCATGGGACTAAATTTGTACCCAGTAGCCAAGAAGCTTGGGCATGTGAATTCTAGCGTTTTAAAGAGAGGGAGCAAAGGGAGACTTTTCTCCTGCAGAACAAAGACATTAATCAGGCAGAAGTGGGTGCAGGGGAGAAGAGACCTTTCTTACAGAACTCCCCTTATCTAGAATGATTTAAATCTGTAGATAAGTAAGGCTGAGAAATGAGCCAGATCGAGGTGAGACATCTTAAAAGCTTCCCAGTGTTCCCCAAACTGCGGTTCAGAATAAACAGTATCTTCTAAAATTTAATTGGCAACCGGGAATCCAAACCACAGCCGACTGAAAAGCAGGAACCACGAAGAGAGGGAAGAGACAAAGAGGGGAGGGCTCCGGAGACGCTGAGCCTTTGAAGAATCATCTCTGGGCGTTCCACCGGGGGGCTGCGAGAGCCACTGCCCTGGGGGGGACGAGTCCTGGCGGACAAGGAGCCGCAGAGAGAGCGGTGCCTGTCTTTTTGGGAGTCTGCGAGCCACCGGTGAGGTCAGGGCCAGCACCTCGAGGTCCGTGCTCGCCCGCGTGAAGGCTACAGTGTTTCTGGCATAGTCTGCAGGTTCAGTGTACGCCGGTCGAAGTTGGCAAAATAAAAATAAATGAATGGCCAGATGAATGAATGAATAAAATGCATGTTAAACTCCGACGCAGCCCCTTCTGTGCCGTGCGGTGAGTGTCGCAACAGACCAGCTCTGTGCGCTGGGTCTCACCCTGGGCCAGCTTCCCAGTGGGTCTGAACTGGGCACAGGCGCACCCTGGACCAACCTGCTAGCACTCCCCTTAAAGGACTTCAGCATATGAGTTTTTTGGGGGGACACAATTCAGCCCATAGTGGCTGTACCACCTAAATACCCCCCGATAGCACAAACATGACTTACGCACACTGTCAACAGTTACTGACCGAGCCCCTGAGGATGCTAGATGCGGTTCTAGGTGCTGGGGATAAGGCGTGAACAGACAGGAATCTCTGCTCTCGCAGAGCTCAAGTTCCTGAGGATGACACTCAGAAGCGGGACAGCTGGGAGACACCATGGAGAGAAGTCAAGCAGGAAGAGCATGTGTGGGTGGCGCAGGGGGGACGTGAGACCTTCAGCAGGGAGCCCGGGGACCCCCCCACCCCGAGAGAAGGGGGCAGTGAGCCTTTGGATGCGCACAGACAAGAAGGAGGGAGAGTTGATGAAACACGGAGGGGCTGGCTAACGGCTCGACAGGGAAAGGAACGTTCTTCTCAGAAATAAAACGGCCGTGACGGTGCTGAACTGAAGTTCTCCATACTTGGTTGCCGAGTCCGCAGAACAACCATGCAAAGCCGCTGTTTTTAGCCTCAATTTACAGAAGAAAGGACCCAGGCCAGGGAGGTGCTGTGCCTGGCCCAGAGTCACATGGCTGGTCTGTGGCAGAGCTGGGATTTGGACAAAGTCTGATCACACTCTCGGCACACCCCACGGCCGGCCGCGGCTGGGTAAGCAGGCCTCCCACGGCGGGGCAGGATTCCACCAGGCAGAGAGAGAAAGGCAGAGAGACTTCAACCACAGTGCTCCCAGGCGGCGGAGGCAGCAAGAGCGAGGAGCCATCGGGGAGGAAT